TCTTCCTTCCGAGGAGTGGCTGGTGGGTTTGAACCGCCAGCCTTCTGGTGAGCAGTCAAGTGCCTTAGGCACTATGCTACCAGAGCTCCTATTTTAGATTGGCAGCCGGTAAATCACGGCCCAAATCCAGTAGCTGTTTCTATAAATAAAGTTTTATTGGCGCACAGCCACACTCATTCATTTGCAAATTGTCTATGGCTGCTTTGTGCTACAAGGGCAAAGCTGAGTAGTTGCCACAGAGGCCGGCTGGCCCACAAAGTTGAAACACCTACTGCTGTCTCTCCCTTTGCAGGGAAAGCTTGCTACTGATTCCTATTTTATTAAAATGTCTATGTTGAAATTTATTAAAAGCAATTTTAAAACAAGCTATTTTTAAATTATGCCACTGTAGCTTTTGATGTTTTTTCCATTGTGAGGAAGGCCAAGCCTGTTTTCAATCACTGTCAGATGAGTCCAGGGTAAATAATCCAAATTATGATAAAGTTATGGACTATATTAGATAAGACTAAGATGTATTTCATGCCTGTCTTAGTCCATAAGCGTAATTTGACTACTGTTTGACATCTGTAAGACTGCCTGAGAAAAGGAACAGTTAGTCATTTATTTTTCTATATAACGCAATCTTTAAAAAAATACCATTCCTGTTGTAAAAGGGGCATTGTTCATGTAAAACAAACAAACAAACAAAAATCTCCAATGTGCACAGAAAAAGAAAGAAGAAGAACAAGAACCCAATATAACATTTTGGTGAATACTTGATGTCATTTTCTACTGATTAATATTTGTACTTTGTTGTCAAAATTAGTTCCAATCTCCTCATATTAATTGATATGCCTTATGCATGTTATGAAGAGAAAAAAAAGTCAGTATCCTTACTCAATAGTTATAGCTTGTTTTCAACCAAAAAATCACAGTACAAAGCCTGATGAGTGAATATACACCAGAACTTGGCTCCAGATATGTTCTAGCTCTTTCTGAAAATGAAATCCATTCTAAGTAATGTGTCCCTAGTGAGGATACACAAAATGAATCTGGGCTTCTGAAAGCAGCTCCCAAAGAAGAGCCTCACAGATATTTTGAGTAATGATAACATCCTGGTTGTTGATTTTGTTTCTGTTGTTGGTTTGTGACTTAGGAGACCCCATCTATTACAGGGTAGAGCTGCTCCATATGATTTTCTTGGCTGCCCTGGTGGTGTAGTGGTTAAAGGCATTTGGCCACTAACCAAAAGGTCAGTGGTTTGAACCCACCAGCTGCTCCACAGAAGAAAGAGGAGGCGGTCGATTTCTGTAAAGATTTACAGCCTTGGAAACTCAATGGCACTCACTATGAGTCGGAAATGACTCGATGGCAGTGAGTTAATCTTTATGGAAGAAGATCTCCAGGTCTCTTTCGTCCTGTGTGCCACTGGGTGGGTTCGAACTACCAACCTTTAGGTTACTAGCTAAATGTAAAGCCCAAAGACCCTATAACATCCTTGAAATAAGTTCCAAATGGAGAGATGTAAAAGGAGCAACACTCTTGGACGGTTGTTTTAGTAAGTTTGTTAAACACACACATACATATAAAGCCACAACAATGTCTAAGATTGTCTTATTGTACACATTTTACATAAAAATCTATAGCCCTAGAAGTCTAAGAAATTTTGAAGTTAGTAGTCTAGTCATGGTTCTCAAATAATTTTCCTCCTTCCTACATATTTTTGGGTTTTCCAGAATTTTGAGCTTGGGTGACTGTTAAGATTCCCTGGCCTGGGCCAATACAACAGCCCAATGGCCACATTTAGTCAACATGTAAAACGTCCTGGCTCTCTGCTAAGTGCTCTGTGTGGTTTACAAGGAGCCCTGGTGGCACAATGTTTAAGCACTTGGCTGCTAATCGAAAAGTCAGTGGTTCAAACCCACCAGCCGCTCTGTAGGAAGAAGATGTGGCAATCTGCTCCCTTAAAGATTACAGCCTAGAAAACCCGACGGGGGTGTTCTCCTCTGTCTTAGAGGGTCAGAATCAACCGAGTGGCACACCACCACCACAACAGCAACAATATGTGTTTTATATTATTTAAGCCTCATACCAACTCCTGAGGTACAAATATCCCCATTTCTTGGATGGGGCACCTGAGGCTGAGAGGGGTTAAGAAGCTTGCCTAGCCTGTGAGTGGCAGCACTGGCACTCAGAGGTCAACCTCTGCTTGACCCCAATGTTCCTCTGGACCACCACGGCCATAACTCAGTTTCTTTGCCTGGACTGAGATGCCCTGGGCCAGCTTCTAGATGGTGAGCATCCTGAAACTGAACACAAAAATGCTGTCTGTTCACTTTCCTGAAGGGAGAGCTTCTAGACAATTTCCCAAAGGACATCTGACCCACAAACGTTTATGAAAGACCACGTGATAGGAGATGGGGCAGTGAATGGTGTCAATGATTTTATCAGTAAATTTCTCCTGAATAGTAATTGAATTGGGTAGTACTAAGGGACAGAGGAAGAAAGGTCGGGGCTTCGATCAATGGATTGTAAGGATGGGACAGGTAGCTGTCACTGTGAGGCTGCATGAGCTTCTGCAGTTGCCTGTGCCTTTGAACCAGCAAAAGCAGACTTCCAGGCTCAGGGACTGGGGACAGAGACTGGCTTCAGAGGTGAAGGCACAGGCTATCTCCGTGCTCTGTCCTTTTTACCGAGGACTCACTACCCAGGGAGCCCTCGCTCGGACCCGTGCCCTTCCTTCCCCAGTGCAGGAAGCTCATTCCTCCAACCCCGCACTTTCTGACGTCGGCTCTCTCTTTTGTCTCTGCGCGGTGCAGGGATCCTGATGTGGGAGGTGTTCAGCCTGGGGAAGCAGCCCTATGACCTGTACGACAACTCCCAGGTCGTCGTAAAGGTCTCCCAGGGCTACAGGCTCTATCGGCCCCAGCTGGCATCGGACACCGTCTACCAAATCATGTACAGCTGCTGGCACGAGGTGAGCAGGGTGAGGACCTACTCATGCTACCAGCAGGGCAAAGCCTTACTGAATGTGAAGTTGTTGTTGTTGTTGTTGTTATTTGCCATCGAGTCGGAATGTGAAGAAGCAGGTGGAAATAGCCCTGAGGCCTTGCCCTCAAGTGTTTGTAGTCTAAACCAAGCAATGCGGACCGACATTTTAACAAACAGCTTATGTCTAGCCCTGGTCTTGTTGTTGCTGTGTGATGTGGAGTCACTTGCGAGTCACAGCGATTCCATGTGGCAGAGTAGCACTGCCCCCATAGGGGTTTCTAGGCTGCAGTCTTTATGGGAGCAGATCGCCATTGGGTAGGTTTGAACCACTGACCTTTCCATTAACAGCCAAGTCCTTAACCATTGTGCCACCAGGGCTCTTTGCCTTGGTCTTAGAACTTGATACATATTTATTCATTTGTTCATCAGGAAACACACTATGAGGTAGATATTATTATCACCATCACTATAACTTATCAGAGACAAAACAGGCTCAGAGAGATTAAGTGATTTGCCTAAGGTCACACCGCTAGTAAGAAGCAGGGCTGAGATTCAAACACAGGCTGGCTAGCCTGGAGTCATTTCTTAACCACGGTACTATGGGGCCTCTCCTCGAGTAGAAAATGTGTAACAGAGAACATAAAACCACGTGTAGAGAACACATAATGGAGACCATCTGTCCTCTCCTCACTCCCCATTTCTCCCAAACACTGAATAAGAACTTCCATGCAAGTAGGGGATCAGGGTATGGTGGGGGAGACATGGAGTTGAAATTGTAGAGGATTCCTTTGCAAAGCAACCACTATGTTCGTAGTGCTAATGGGAGAGGTTAGAGAAGTCTGAGGCTCTTCTCTGTCCTCACCGAACTCAAAGTCTTCACGTGCATGTGCGGTGCGTGTGCACACTCTCTCTCTCTCTCTCTCTCTCTCTCTCTCTC